TCACTCTGTCCTCTGTGTCCTCTGTCCTCACTCCTACTACCTCCATGCCCTCTCTTACTATATACATACACCTCCTCTTTGTCTTTTTCCTGGCAGCTGCATTTCTAACATCCTTCTACCAACATACCCACTGTCTCCAGACCATACAGTATAGCAGGTCTCACCACTGTCTTGTAAACTTTTTCTTTGACATTTGCTGACACCCTTTTGTCACAAATCACTCCTGAAACTTTTCTCCATCCTGCCTGGACTCTCTTCTTCATCTCTTTACCACACTCCTCATTTTCCTGGACAGTGGACCCCAAGTCCTTGATGTCCTGCACCTTTGTGACTTCTGCTCCTTGTAGCCTCACTGTTCCACCTCCTCCCTCTCATTCACACACATGTACTCTGTCTTACTACGGCCGACTTTCATTCCTCTTCTGTCAAGTTCATACCTCCACCTCTACAAGTTCTCTTCCACCAGTTCCACAATGTCATCTGCAAACATCATTGTCCACGGGGATTCCTGCCTGACCTCATCTGTTAGTCGGTCCATCACCAGAGCAAACAAGAGGGGGCTCAGAGCAGATCCTTGATGCACTCCCACCTCCACCTTGAAGCTATCTGTCACTCCTACAGCACATCTCACCACTGTCCTGCTGTCCTCATACATGTCCTGTACCAGTCTAACATACTTCTCTGCCACTCCAGATCTCCTCATGTAACACCACACCTCCTCCCTCAGCACTCTGTCATATGCTTTTTCTAAATCCACAAAGACACAGTGGAGTTCTTTCTGACCCTCTCTGTACTTCTCCATCATCATCCTCAAAGCAAAGATGGCATCTGTGGTGCTCTTTCTTGGCATGAAACCAAACTGCTGCTCACAGATAGACACATCTCGTCTAAGTCTTGCTTCCACAACTCTCTCCCAGATCTTCATCGTGTACTTAATTCAGAGTCAGAGATTCTTTATTGTCATTCGCACCTCATGTGGTACATGTGGTGGAGCGAAATTATGTCCACAGGGTCCCAGTTACATCCAACAATAAAATGTATCATAAAAACAGTAATAACATCTAAGATATGAACTAAGAAAAACATCAACTAAATATACACTAAGCACTCATAACATAAAACATTGAACATCAGCACAAACATGAACATGAGTCTGTGTGAGCTGATGAGCACACATGAACACATCAACACTGAAACAGATCAGCAGCAACATTGAAACAGATCAGCAGCAACATGATGTGGTTTTTCACAGTGATTATTCTAGTTAGAGATTCA